TATAAGTATGCATAGATAGCTATCTTTAACTGTGCACACAATCATGCAAGCCAAGCTGGTTCACTGAACACCAGCACAAACTAAATATGCATTTACCTGAGTCTTCATTCAGGCAAACTCCTTTGATTTTTTTCTTTGCCTCTGTGAACTCAGAGGCTCAGTTAGAATCTGGCCGTGCACATTTGTTTACCTTGATAGTGTAATACAGATGGGTAATCCTTGTAATATGACTACATTTATTTATAAAATATTTATTTATATTTTATTTGTATCTATTTATTACTATAATATTTATTTACTAATAAAAAGGCTTAGGACTGTGATAGGTTGCTGCATGGATAATCACTGATTTTTTTCTACAAAGCTGGCTATGCTGACTGTGCTGTTAAGCCAAGTTTTCAATTAAACTGGGTCTGAACAACCTCTTTTTCTCTCTTTTTTTTTTTYCCCTGTAATTTTGTTTATAGCTAACAAAATGATGATCTTTTATTTTTCAAGAATCTCTTAATCTATGTCTCATTATGTACCTCACGTGGTGCAAAAGCAGTGCTAGGGCTGGACTGCAGCTGTGGCCAGTTCAATCCCTACCCATTTTATTTGCATCTTGACAGTAGGATGGGGCTGGTTTTACCCTCTCTCCCTGTATACTGATTTCCTGTGAATTATATATTTAGAAAGTAAAACATGTATTCAATTTCGATCATACAGAAAAAAAAAAAAAAAAAAAAAAGACACACAGAAGGAAAGATTTTACTAGAAAGTTCTGAGAGCAGATGTGCTCCTAGAAAGGACTGGGAGGTTTCCTGGCAGGGCAGAGGAACACAGGTCACTTTGCCAAGCCCTAGTGAGACCAGAGGTTTTCTGCATCCAGTACTTGCCTCCATCAGATAAATTCCAGTGGGAAGAGGCTGGAGAGCAGGGATAGGAGGCAAGAGCCTGTCTAATGTGGAGCACATGGAGCAGCATGTCTTATTTAACCTCACAGAGTGAAGGTGAGCAAGGAATATGGCTGCTCTCTAGATATATCAAGGAAGGAGGAGAACTGTTTGAGCTAAAGGATGTTTTTGTCCAAGAAAAAAAATGGATATTGCCTGCTATGATTTATGCTTAAACTGGAAATCAGGAGATTCTGATCCTAGAAGACGGGAGGTTTTATAGAAGTTTTTCAGTAAGAGTGGTGGGAGCAGGATATTTGGTTGGCTTCTGGGCCAGAATATGTTTGCCTGAAATAAATGCAGATAGAATTGATGCTCCTGGGAGGCCCTACTAACCCTATGTAAGGGCAGAAAGAAAAATAGAGAAGAAAATGCATATAACAAAAATTAGTTTCAGGATTCAGGAGAGAATAAACTGGCCTAGTTTTCTTTCTAAATGACTGTCCCTGTACAGATCTGGTGCTCAAATCAAAGAATCAGTTTATTTCAAGGTTGATGGCTCTGTTCAAGGCCTTGGGTGCAGGGCCGCTGCCACCTGACGTGAGCCAGTGCCTAACTGAAACTCCTTACCAGCCCCTTCCTTCTGCAGGGGTGAGGGTTCATGTGGCCCTGTAGTGACCAGGATCAAAATATGTACTTGAACACAGTATGAGCTCCCAAGGGTGCTCCTGTGGTGTGTACAGCCGCATCTTCCCCATAGCCTAGGCTGTTGTTGACCTCAGTCTGACAGAGCTCTTGTCACCATGCCACTGTTGGGAAGGAGTCTGCGAAGTGAATCGTCTGTGAGTGGCTTGAGGAGCTGACCTGACCTCTTCTGCAAGGGCATGGTCACAGCGTCAGGTCAGGGCAAGGGTGGAAGTCCTCAGTGGTGTTTGTGGCATGATGGGAAACCTCAGAGAAGGGCACATGGGGACTGCCTTAGGAGGCAGCTGMTCCAGACATGAGGTGCCACTGCCTGCTCAACTCCGAGCTATCAACAGGACTGCATGTGCCTCATGGTGACCTATTGCTTTCCAAGACATCTGGATTTGTCCAGACCCTTTAGGTAACAGGATCTTCCTGGCTCTGGTCTTTCAGACAGAACTGAAGAGACCTAGAGGGCTGTAAGCTGCAGGCTGAGGTGTCTGTGTCATAGTGCCGAGCAGTTGGGGACAGTCAGAGACAAGAACAGTGTCTTTTTCCTCAGGAAAAAAATGAAATGTTGAACCAAAACCTTTGACCCTTTGTGTGATTCAGGTGTATAAATTAAAATCACCCATTATTGGGAGAACTCTAAAAAGCAGTGTTAGCTTACTGCTTTTGGGGCTTACTGCACCCRAGTCCAGGGTGGTGTTAAGACATCGCTGCTCCGCACTGGGAGCCATGGCCATGGTGCCGTGTTCCTTTCCACTAGCCTAGTGGCCCCTCGATTCTCCCTKCTTCCATAGAATCGTAGAACATTATGGTTGGAAAAAACCTTCAAGATCATCGAGTCGAACTGTGAATCAGACCCCAGTGCTAAGGTGCGAGTAGGGTATTTCTCTGCATTATTTTTAACAGSAGTGGTCATTTCTGTGTGTGAAAGACGCCTGCCTTTGGGTTTGGGGTTATTTTTCTTACGTGGAATTCTTATGCCTATATATGAACATAGACATATCTGTTTCGCTTATTTGCCCTCTTTCACAGTGTTTTGCCTTACAAAGTCATCTCAAGAGGGTGAGCTGGAAGGAAACTGATCTGGTGGCGCTTTGCTGGTGGAGTTTTTGTGGCCGCCGGTGCGAAAGGGCTCGGTGGTGCAGCGAGAGGTGCCGCGCGCGGGGCGAGAGGGGCGCACAGAGCGAGTGACTCACCCTGGGGTTTTCTCTCACGTGTCCTTGTGCCGCTCGYGGAGGTGGCTGCAGTTTTCTCCTCCTCTGCCCCCAGCTTCCCCAGTTACCCCTGTGAAACCTCTGCCCGGTGCTGTGACTCAGCCCTGTCGGGAGACCCGCGGGGTATTTCCCGCTGCCTCCCCCGGAGCGGTTTCTCCAGTGAGAAGGTCCTCCAGGGCTGCGCTCCGTGCCTCAGCGCTCAGCGAATGCAGAGGTCGTGTGAGGGAATGGTGGGAAAGAGGCAGCGCCATCGCAGGGGGTTGTTCTGATTAAACGGAGATTTGAAATGAGGTGACCGTCTTCTTTTATTAAGCCTGCAATGAGAACTGTAGTAATTTGGTTGCTATCTGAGCTTCGCCAAAGCACGGTCATGTGAGCAACCAGTGCTGTTGTACAGGCTGGTTTCCTTTGCACATCTGGTGACTTCATGGAYATCACACCCCTCTTCTGCAAGCTGAAGGGTCCTTGCCATCTGGACAAGTTTTCCCTCTTGGCTTTGACACACACTTCCACGCTTATTGCCAAGCACTACTTGTGAGAGAGCAAAGTGATAAACACAGCCTCTCCAACTACAATACTTTCTGTAAATCTAAGTCCCAGTCCCAAAATAAAATCCATGCCATACACCCCTGACTCTGCCATAGTTGTTTGTTGTAGTTTTCTCCAGCAGRAGGGACAGTATATGGTTTGTGTAGTGATACATCAATGATACGGCATGGCGATTCCTTCAGAGCTGCCTTAATCCTTATGATTTATGTGTTTTTAATAACACTTAAGTTTAGTTTCTCTTTGCAACTTCATGTGTTACCTTACTGTGTAGATGCTGTCACATATGCGCTCTCTAGGCCTTCTTTTTACTCCTTTATTAGCACGTTCTGATAATTTTTTTCTGCCTTGTTTTCTTCACAGATCTATCTGGAAAGTATGAACCATGAGAACAGCTTACTCACTATTAGATAAGTATTATGGATGACTCACATTAGAGCACTGAGCGACGTGCAGCTGACAGGAATATACTGTTTTATAATAGCTGTAACACTATGCTGAGAGCCAGGAGTCTTTATCTCCCCTATTAACTTGCTCTGATTCTCTGGCACCTTCTGCTCCTTAGTTCAGCCCTCTAAATARTTCATAGAAGAGTTTATGCCCCCCTCAAGAGGGATACAGAGTATGGGGCAGCCCATCAACATTAGTAGATGGTATCTTCAAATGGAAGATAGTGGTAAAAGGCTGCAATATTGTAGCCATTCTTCAGGACAACATGCAATTTTTCTATTTTCGACTTTTCTTTTTTATGCAGTTAGTAGCTTTCCTTGTTTTGTTGTGTTTTTGTTTTCTTTCCAGAACCATTACTCCTCTTTTCCAGCGTGACAATCCAAAAGGTCCAGAAACAGGTAAGATAGATGCTGTTTAAGCATGTTAAATTTGATTCACTAAGGGCAAAATACTGGCTGCTGTGGAGTCAGTGTGAAAAAAAAAAGAAAAAAAAAAAAATTGACTCAACTACAGTGAGAATTGTACCTAACATGCTCGAACCCATTAAACTGTCTGGAATAAATATGTTGGAGGCAGAGTGCGCAGACTATCTGGAACCGTACGTCTGAATGCGCCTCCGCTTCCAAAAACACCAGCGTTCTTTGAAGCTTCGCTCCAAATGAAACGAGATTAGACCTACGATATTTAAAGTTTGTATTTCGTTTATGAAAACACCAGTGAAATACTGAGTTTTATTATCCTTGCTTTTCTGAAATAGAAGTATTCATTCACACAAGCGTAGTGCTGGAATATGCACAAGCCAGGAAACCTCAATGCAGACAAGAATGAGTGAAGTCAGTGTCACCCTCCGGCAGAAATTATAGCCTGTCCTCCGTATGCACCCGGTACTGTAGCTAGCTGCCTGTGCCAAGAGCTTTTACACTTCTCTCTAATCCATTTTGTGCAGTGTTTTGTACAGTGAGGCTTTCCAGAATGGCATTATCACTGTATGGACAGCAGGTGAGGAGACTGAAGAAGCAAAAAAATGGGGGAAAATGCATTCCTGGGTGAGATTCACATGGAGCTGTAAAGGGATGGGATGTGTATGAGATGGCAAGAATTGTTGGGTATGGGGGGTTAACTTGGCTGGTTGCAACATGCAGTTGAAAGGCTACTGTGGGGGTAGGTGGAAAATAGGAATCGAAAAGAGACATTATGAAGGGTGATGTGCCAGGGATGTGGCTCTGACTGATGGCTCCATACGAGGTGACACCGGGGCCAGCTGAGCTGTCCTTGCAGGACCACACACTTGCATTTCAGCCTCTTCATTTCACACTGCAGCTGAACTGCTGAAGATGCTTGGTTTCCATGAAGATGCAGGATTGTGAACCTGGGTAGCTGCGACACAAACAACACCCAGCCTTTCGCCAACTCTGCTGTGGGTCAGGAGCTTCCAGCAGGGCAGTGCTAATACAGTAAGTGCTGCTGTCATTTTTCTCAGTGAACATAAACCAAAGCCCCAGTGCCTTAATAGGGAAGAGGAGTCTGGCAGAAATATCCATGCTTGTATCCTAATTGCATGCTTTGGGTCTCTGCATTTTGATACTTTCCTGTACTCACTACAAGAACTGAGGTGAGRTCCAGTTTGCAATATGTTTTACGCTGAGATACGTATGAAGGTTGGCATCTCTGGAGTGATATTGTAAAGGTTTTTGTGTTACTGTGGAATAAAAGGCTGTGTCATGCTTATGCTGCAAAAGTCAGTTGTKCTGCAGCTTCCTTAGGGAACAACAGTTGCAGCAAAAGCACCTGTGTGACTGCTTAAAGCATCGTCTTTGTTAGGTCCGTTGCCAGTAAAACAGAGAATGCCTTAAAAGCCTTCTCCTTTAGCCCTGTATATCAGATATTCATGTGACGTGAAGTGATCTCACAACTAAGTTGTTTTAAGTGGTGTTCTGTTGCTCTGTAGGGAAGGAGTGGGAGTTTGGCTCTCAGAGAATCCTTGCTCATAAAGCATTAACCGGTGAATGCGAGGTAGATGAATTAGGAATTTGGCTATGCCCTTCAAAAAAAGAAAATAAAACAGCACTTTGAAGAGCTGATGAATGCCCTTGATGACTGCCAAGTGGAAATAGGGGGCTAGAGAAACGAAAGCCTCGTCCCCACCCCTTTGCCCTTGTATGTCCAGCTCAACAGGCAGGTTCTGGTGCTTCCCCGTGAGCTGCCTTAACCATACATATTCAAATAGACTGCTCARGCGTGTCGCCTTGCTGTGGCATGTAGCAGGGGCTTTCCAACCTCGAGGCCATTATTAGTAAGTCACTTACTTTTTACGTGTGCCTTTTGGTTAAAGCTGTGAACTGCGAGTGAGTGCTAAAAACTGCTTCTCAGTCTTGTAAATAATAAACTTGCAAAAAGTTTCCGAGAAGCATAATGACTTCCCTAAATATATTATATTTTATGTCTTTAGATACTCAGATGTGCGGAGAATTTTCTGATCCCAGCAGAGGWTATGCAGTCTTGCTGTCATTTGGGAAGCTCAAGCAGGTAGCAGATAAGGATAAGGAGATGGCTTTTGGGCTTTGTTTCTTTTTGAAAAAAGTAGATTTTTGGAAGTGTGTTTCTGTGGTTTTGGTGGCTAGGTAGAGTGGACCACCAGAATAGTTGGAGTGATTGCATAGTAGACTTAAAGATCCTGCCAGCTGTGTGACTAGATGTGGGATTATATATCCCAGAGCACTCAAAGTCCACATGGGTTTTTAAATCACACAGGTCATTTCACAAAAGATAATTACATTCCTGAGTTACTCAATAATGCCTACMAATGTTACTCCAAACAGCTTATGAAGCGCTTGAAGTCTCTAGCTTTTGCCAGAGGAAAATGCACTACTAAGAACAAATTAGCTGTCAGTGCGGCATTTTCTTGCTTGGAATCTCAGGGTGTTTGCCCAGCTAAGCTCATATACTTATTGTGAAGGTACCACTGAACATACAGGCTACATATGTGTTTGCACTTTAACCGCTGCCTTTAGGACAGCTCCGTGTGTCCCCCATCTCCAGACACAGGAGAGCTGGGCTGGGAAGCAGTGAAACCGAAATGCAAGTGTATCCTATTCTGCTTCCACTTGCTGYGGAGATGGGGAATCAACCTCTGCAACCTGCCAAGGTGGGGATGGTGACACTGCAGAGGGGCGGTGACACCACAGAGGACTGCAGTGGATGCAGGGGTATTTCTCCAGGCACTGGATGGAGATCCTGGRTTGGAGAAGAGAGGATGGTTGTGGATGGAGGCTGGCAGCAATCCAGGCAGCGCAATGCTCCCCCAAGCTCCTGGTGTTGCTCTAGTGCTCATCCATGCTTCTGAGGAAAGTGGTGGTAGAGATGATTGTTAAGACAGCAGTGCAAGGAAAGTACATTCTTGCGTCTCCACAAGGAGGCTCAGATGCTATCTGGGAGCTGTTGAGAAGTTCTGGTATCAGGCAAGCATTTTACAAAAGCTGAACATGTGAGTTCCTAGTTGCTTTCCTCTTCACTACGTGGTGAAGAGGCACCAGAGGAAAACAGCTGGCATTTCTGCTTTGCCCAGAGATGATGATATCAGGCTTTACGAGCGGATTTCCCTTCTGAAGGTGTCTGTTTCCATCTGACTAGTCAGTGAGCCTAGGTGGGATATGCCTCATGGCACCCGCAGCATGTAGGTGTCTGCCCAGGTGCTATTTGGCTGCTGTTGTAGTCAGAGGAGATCTAGCTGGTGTTGTCGAGGCGGTTAAGGTGAGACTGAGCCGATGAACAATGATAAATTGTACCCTCAGCTTCATGGGTCATGTTAATAAACTCTACACCAGACATCAACAGAACCTAAGCTGACTTGTTGAGTTGAAGACGCCAATGCTGCAAACASCTTCCTTTAATYGTATGTGCCATGCCTTAGCCATCCRGCTCAGATATATATATTTTAGATGGCTGTAAAGTGTTCCAGCATAGTCTTCAGGACACGTCATGAGGATCATCTGGTCATGGAGGTGACTTCTCATGAGGAATATTGTTTGAGRCCTCAAGGGTTAGGGAGGAAGGCTGCAGGTAGGTGCTTTCCTCTTTCCCTAAGATTAAATTAGTTGCTTTACATCTTGCCTCAATTGTTCCATAATTTAAGATTTGTCATTTTGTCTGTTTTAATGATTTTTAGTACCTAAGCCGTGTAGAAAAGGTCCCTAGGTTTTGTATCATGTCTTCACAAATTGTACTGTGCAAGTGTCACAAAATACTTGGATGAAATCGCAGTGGTCTACCACAAACAGGCTAATCAGTGGCCACTTAAGTTGCAAAGCAGAGCTCAGTAAATCTAAAGTATTTAAGTGGTGTCAGTTTTATGTAATGGGTTTACAGGGAAATCATGCAATTGATGGGAAGTCAGCAGAGAAATTATTCATCACTTACTGTGATCAAAGGAAAGTGACAGGCTCAAAGCGTGCTCCGAACTCTCACCCCAGCACACATCATCATCTAAGTATTAGATCATCTATTAAGAAAACATAGTCCCTTTTGCTCCTTTTCATGATCGGTCAGAGTTTTGCTCTGCAACCATCAGTGTGGCACAGAAATGCCTGTTGTGTCAAATCAATCACCGTGGCAAGYGCCTTAGTCGACTTCAGGAGACTCAACGCAATGCACGAGCACATTCAGGGAGCACTGTGGAGTTTMTCCTGCACTGATTGATGGAGAGCATTTTCACCTAGGGCAAGAGCATAACCACTTCAGCTCRTGCTTCCCCATCTGACATGAGACCTAGACCAGGGCAGGATCTCAGAGGGTAAATCACCAGGAGACAATCAAGGGCCCTCATAAGCTGGTGATGAAATTCTTGATGCCTTCTGGAGGAGCTGGTATTTGTTCAGTGAGAAGTGTTTGCTGTGGGTTCCGATGAAAYGTATATGCAAGACTGCAAGAGAGACCTCCATTTTGCTAGTGAAAATTTAACAACTGCAACTGCATGCTCCTGCAGCATGAGTGAAGGCAACACTGCAGTACCCCTGACGACGCTGTCAGGTCCTGCCCTGCATAAGGGTACGGGGAGGACTTCCAGCCTGTGCATATGCTCAGCCAAGCCCTCTCGCAGCTTTCTTGCCCTTGAGCTCCCAGTCCCTCAAGGGTAAATACAGAGCAATCACGGGAAGGCAGTGGGGAATCAGCAGACTCCAAGGCCACCAGCTCACGTCCATACTCAGAGCATGGTTGGGACAGTGGCTGGAGAAGTGTCCTGCCTGAAGCCACCATCTCCCTTTGGCAAGTCAGGATCACGGGCAGGACTGGCATGTCCTCACGTTGGGCAATTGTTCGGTGAGCGGTGGTAGAGAGCAGGATGGTCTCCATTGCCCCTGGTCACCAATGCAGGGTTCAAGCRGGGCACCGCTCAGAGGCTGCGCGGGTTGGAGCCCAGCGTGTGCATCGTATCACAAGAGGGACATGTGGGGGCAGCCGCCTCCGCTGCTTCCGTGGCCCATTCAAGTTTTGCAGAGGTTTCTCCGTCCTCTTTGTCCACAATTTGCATTTTGCTGTGCTGTAGTTTCCCTATGGGGGGAGAAGCAGTGCCCAGCTACAGGATTGGTTTTTTACATTCACGTCACTGTAAGTCACATCAGTTCAGTCATCCTCTTTTGAGAAGGCCTGTTTACTTGCTGAGTGCATGCCATCATTTTTATGCTGATTATTCTATATATTGACAGATTGTGGTGTGACAGAATTGAGAGGATGTCACAGGGTACCAGTCAATGCTGCTGACTCAGAGAGGCAGAGGACTCCTTTCCTTATTCTGCGGTTGTCTGTATTGATTTCTTCACACTGGAAAGGCTGATGGTCACGGAGGGAGGAGGCCCCTGGGGTCATGGGTGATCAGAAGGGAGGGAAATAAATAGATAAAGCATTCCAGGATTATCTTAGGGAGCCAGGTCTGGTAGTAGAAGAGATGAGGGAAGGTTTCATCCTGGCCCTTCCCTCTCCTTTCTACCCCCACTATTTCCACCCTGCACATACCAGCCTATCCTGGGAGGTGTTTGCAGGGGCTGGTCTGTGTAGCATTTGAGTGAGGATGCCAGTGGGCTTGGAGCTGCTGCTATTAAAGCTGTGTAGGGTGTATTTTTGCATTCCTGATAATGTGCTGTCAAAGCTTGCTTCATGCCAGGAATACCAATGAGGAAAGGGAGCGGGGCTTGCTGGGCTGAAAGAAGAATCACGGGGTGCGTTTGGCACGCGGAGCAGAGGAGGGACAAGGTGRGCAACGGGGGAGGTGGGCTGAGAGCGGCCCTGAGAGCAGGACTTGGAGCTGCCAGGCAGCCTCCGCAAGCGAGCGCGCACACAGGGCTCTGACACCACAACACAGGGTCCCCTGGAGCTGCTTGGGGACTGGAAAGGGAAGGACATCTCGTTAATTACTTGTCCAGTTACCCTCATGGTGTGGAAAGCCACAGAAGTCTCCTTG